AAATGAAGAAACGCGCCGCAAATAGCATGGACCACAACGGAAATGTTTCAAGGGGACCCAACAAAGTGACGGACCCGGCTGGGATTTGCTTATTGTGCAGTGGCTATTGGTCAGTGGAGTTGTCGGTGAACTGAAAGGTGAGTTTTTTTGTTTATTTTAACACCCTGATTGCATGATTCCTTTGTCTTTTAGATATTATTAGCCTAAATAATCTGACGAATTACACGAGTAACTGTGAAACGTTATATAAAATGCTTTTTCAGTTGTGGGGATCAGTCTAGCGTTCTTTCTAAACATGTTGTGAGTTTCTATGTTACCACACAATCAAAACACTAAAACTTCCCTGATCAACAGAGGGTACGCTTGTTAACACATCGACTATTGTTAACCTTCCTTGGCAAGGCAGAGGATAACAAATTTACTAGCACTTTACGCTAAACTTCCCTGCTTAAACAGAGGGTAAACAATTCTTCTCTGCCGAAACAGAGGGTAACAAATATTAACACGTAATGTTAATCTTCCCTGTCTTAACAGAGGATAACAAATTCTCCCCTGCCGAAACAGAGGATAACCTTCATCTCTAAAATACAATTTTTTTAGAGGATAACTTAGTTAACCAAACCCTACAGCTGTCTGTTAACTCTTCTCTGACGGCGCAGAGGATAACAAATTTGTACTGGTCTTAAAGGTTCTTTTGGATAGAGTGGAACTCACCAACCCTTGGTTGTACAGAAAGATTCAGTCTGGAACTTAGTCAGATCTTTGTTGAGCTTGAAGTTTCAATCTGGATTCAGGTGAGGAGCTCTATCCGGGTCACGGCACCAAATCTCTCGGCCACTGTAGGTTTCTGTAATTTCATGCACTTGAAACCCATTTCTCGAGAGCTGAGGAGAGAGCTTTATGGACGTCGTAGAATAAGGTACTGAAAACCTTCTTTATCAAAGGCCAGTCTAGTTCCTTTCATTAGAGTTGGCATTTTTGTTGTTGTAACAGAAATTATCTTTCCATTAGACATCGTTCTCGGTCAAGATCTCGTGAAAGACACTCTCGCTCTCGTGACCGCAGCCGTGGAGGTCGTGAACGTGAGAGGAGCAGATCAAGAGATCATGAACGTTCTGGAAGATTTTGAGCCGTCACACAGTTTTGCTGCCTATGTTTTGTTGCGTAAGCAGGGGGCACACTACACGACTAGTTGAAACATTCTAAGACTGACCTCAACACACTTAAAGACTGCCACACCAAAGACAACACAGCGGACAACACCGGTGCTCTTAATTATTGAAACGTTAAAGGTTTGTTTTTCTTTTCTTAGTTTGTGCTTAATATAACAGAAAATATAGCTTTCCTGCTATGTAGCTGTTGCTAATAAATGCCACAGCAATGTCTTGATTTTTTTTTTTTTTTGCATTAAGTCCTATGTTTCTCTTTCTTTTTTGAATTATTGCTTGAGCAGACACATTGTGTTATGTCTTTTGAGACACCTATGTTTAATTTCCTTAATTATAAGATTTCTAGTGCTATTTTTAAACGTTTATTCAAGCAATAATATATTCATTATCCAATGTAGGCTGTGTCTGAAAGGGATTAAAAATAAATTGGTTCTGATTAAAAATGGTAGGTTATTTTTTTTCGTTACAGTTCCCGAGTTACCGATCAGAACGAAATAAAACATTACTGCTCCATTTCTATTCAGAAACAAAAGTCATATAAAATGCTATTTGTGCATTTAAATTTTAATTATATTAGTCTACAGCAGGGATGGGCAACTTTGATAGTGACGAGGGCTAGCATTTTTTCTCCTTTATACCAAGGGTCCAGATTACTAATCCACACTAGTCCACACACCTTTTACACCGTTTTACTCAATTTCCTTTTTATTGAAGGAAATTAAAGTATAACTAATGTCATTTGTTTTTAAAGATTTTATTAAGTATAAAACTTGTGCAGTTATGCTAATTCAGAAGGAAAACTTTGTTGTCAGTGGACAGAAATATTACCCTGACTAGCCAATGTAAACATTTCAATTGCATAGATTTTTGTCGATCCACTGGTTCACATTTAAAAATATGTAGCAAAAATAGCAGATGGGCTTTTTGAAAAAGCAAATTTATGGAGTCAATATAATGCCACATATACATGCAAAATAATAAAGTTTTGCAAAAGAAAATAAAGTTTTGCAAAAGAAAATAGTTTTGCAAACGAAAATAAAAGTATTGAGAAAAAATAAATGTTTTTTGCAAACAAAAATAAAGAATTGCAAAATATAAATGAAACCGCACAAAAGCAATGATTTTGCAATACATATTTTCCATGGCCATAATCTTCCCACATAGTGAGGTAGGTATGTTGGGGCATGTTTAAACAAGCCGTTTTAGGTAGGTGTGGCTGACTGAACTTTTACAAAGAATATCTCTTTGGATTTGAGACTTTAGTCTTTGCAACTTTACAGATCTTCTTTATGCACCAAGAGCTTGTAACACTCCAAAGAGAAAGGAAAATTTGAAATCGCATCATATGACCCCTTTAAAATTGATCATCCAAGTCTAATATGATCTAGCGGGCCGTACTAAAAGACACTGCGGGCCGTATGTTGCCCATCCCTGGTCTACAGCAAACGTTAATGCTCCCAAATGGCACTGTCAACACTGCATTCCGGCAGCTGACAGAAGAGCTGCAGAGAAATTCAAGCCATTGTAATTTTCTTATGCATTTGACACAAAACTACTAGGCCCTATATATAATTAAATCGTGTATATAAAATAAAAAATTAGTAAAATTAGTTTTGAACAATAGCTATCGTAATCGTATCGTAACTGTAATGTTCGTTATGGGGGAAAAAAATCATTATGAAGAATAGCTTTATGAAGTTGTTTAAAAAAAATCTTTATAACAAATTTTAAGAAAAAGTTAAAAGTTAAGAAAATAAAAGATTAAAAAAATTCTTGATAATAGGCTATATTTAAAATTAGAGAAAATCAGTGATAGGCTATAGGCTATTTTACTTTATTCGACTGCAGAAAAAAATGAATAGTCTAAAACCATTTAACTTGCAATGTTAACTTATGAAATAAAATAAAGACAATAAATCAATCACAACAAGATGTGTAATCAAGAAAGATATTTGACAAAATTAACCTTTGACTTTTGACAGTGAACGCATAGCCGCATATAGCCTACAACCGCTGGCGTCAGTCGCAAATATTAAACATGTTTAAAAAAATCTTTGTGAAAACAACTGGTAACGACTATTTTTTAATTCTAATTCTAATTAAAACTATCATCTTTAGGCAGCACACACTATGCGATTTTTCTGCTGACTGCAAACAGCGACTGAGCCCAACTGGAACAGATCTGGTCTGACTGGGCACGATCCGTCGTCAAGAGCAAATTACATTCATAATCGGCATGACAGTCGTGTAGTGTGTTCTCGGCTTTAGTGTCATCAACCAATGACCAGCATTTGTGAGACATCAGATGCCATCTTTTGCTTGAAACCCTTTTGTTTGTCACTTTATTTACTTTTTTAAAGTGTACAGTTGAAAGATTTTTGTTTTTCAATAAAAGTGCATTTTTATAAATTGTCTGTGCCACGGGTTTATGTCTTGGATTATTAAAATCTTAGTCATGATGAATCAGTCCTGCAGGCTTTCAGTAAGTGTTGTAGGGGTGTGTCACGCTGCATTTCTAATCATTGGTTATGTATTGCACTTAAAACAATTTGGAGGTAGATTAAATTTTATAGCACTACAAAAAGACCAGGAATAATGTTTGCCTTTGTAGTATGGGTAGGGATATTGTTATTACATCCACATTTACATTTAGTCATTTAGCAGACACTTTTATCCAAAGCGACTTACAAATGAGGACAATAAAAGCAGTCAAAACTAACAAAAGAGCAACAGTATATAAATGCAAATGACAAGTCTCGGTTAGCCTAACGCAGTACACGTAGCAAGGTGTATGTATATATATATATATATATATTCCCAACTTCTGATAGGAAGGCGATCGGCAGACGCCCTCGTTCCAGCCAATCAGATTGCGCGCCAACACATGGCCATTTCCTAAATAAGTGATAAACGCCGTTCATGTAAATGACGTGACAGGTACTTCTGTATGCACTACTGTTAAAGTGGACCTGTCAGATTAGTATTATTTTTTTTCCATTTTTTTTTTTTATTGAACAGTATCAATTTACACACTCAAATGGGGAACAATAAAATGCATATGACAAAATATACACTTTACCAATCACATCTCTATTATACATAAATGTCCATGTGTGTATATATGTATATCTCTACATACAATAACAATAAACAAAACAAACATTCTTTAAACATTTGAGGGGGGTTCAAAAAAAAACCCTGCCAGATTATGCACCCCCTCGTTGAAGTCGCTACCTGATTGCCTAATCCCACCCCCACCCCTAATCCTACCCCCCCCCCCCCACCTACTCCTAAACCTACCAATACTAGGGGGTGCATAATCTGACGGGGTGCAAATTTCGGCACTACAACGGTCGGCGTTTATCAGCAAGGTAAATGTGTTGAATATCTGTAATGGATGTTGCAGTATGCGATCACCAATATATTTGAGACTGAAATATAAATATTTATTATATAAAAAAATATTTGGCTGCTTTCCATACTAAATGTCAATACCATCAAAACCGTTGGAATTAACTGCATTAACTAAAATCGAATTCACAAAAAGTGACTGACTGACATAATCACATTAACAAAAGTCTAAAAGAGCACGAGGTTTGTGATTTGCAGGTAACGTTACATGGCTGGTTGCCTCGTGCTCGTACAGATTATTTAAAGAATGTTTCTTTAAATCCTATACAAATGTTTTGCGGAAAAAGAGATATGCAGGAAACTCTGCCTGGATGGGATGTGAATGAAAGTGTTTAGTTAAAAGTCCCAACAAACACAGAACGTTGCCTCAACGTAGCCAACCTTTTAGCAACGTTGTGAAATGTGTTTGTTGGGGTGTTTCTTGGAGCACATGGATCCACATTAAACTTCTCCATACTTCTGGTAGCTTGACTCTTGCGTCCTAGACTGGGTTGCCAGGTCTGTGTATCATAAGCAGCACAATATGTCCGATATTTGGATTTTGCAGTCACGTACATATTGTAATCATAACCGCAACTGAGTCCTATTTCCATTAAAACATAGTATACAGTTTACCTGTTTAGACTGGCTGAAGACTGAAGACATTTAAATCTAATTTGTGTACTGTCAATTGTGCGTGATCTGCGGTCTTGGCAACCCTGGTCCTGAAGAGTCACCACTCATGCAGTAGAATTTTGTATAATAATATCTATCTATCTATCTATCTATCTATCTATCTATCATCTGGTATCATTTGCTTGCAGGTAATATTTTGATATTTATTGCAATGAAAACAAAAGCAGTGTGGTTTAGTGGCTAAAAGTGTTAAAATACGAAGGAACTGAAAATGCAATTTTGTCTTTTGTGGGAATAAGTCAGTCTCAGTCATGTTATTTCTGGATACACAAAGACCACATGAACTTGCATTGTATTGTGGTCATTAAACAATAAAGCAGTCAAGCATGCTTGCTATGTTGATGAGGCGCATAGTTTTAACAGCTGGTGTGTTTTATGCTTGGCTTGTTGTTATGTTATATATTAATGGTTCTCATACTCTGGAATTAACATGGTGGTTAAGGTTGGTGTATTCAAGAGGTCAGATTTGGCATTTATTCCACCTAAAGGCTGGAATTGTCATGGCTTCCCATGTCATTGTGTTGATGTTGAAGTGAGACAGATGTGCTGCAGATCCGTAAACAAACATTTTTAGCACTTTGGCTTCCATTGTCCTGAATTCAGTGGATTTTTTTATTTGTTTTGGGTTAAATGCCTGTAATGAGGTCTGTGCTTAACACAAGTTCAATATATTTTCACATTTTACTCTACAACCTAAAATACATAAGTAATGCATCCTTATGATTTTTTTTTTCTGATAGGAGGGCGATCAGCAGATGCCCTCATTCCAGCCAATCAGATTGCATGCCGACACATGGCCATTTCCCAAATAGGTGATGAACCCTGTTCATGTAAATGACGTGACAGGTACTTCTTTATGCACAGCTGCTAGTTACTAACAAGTGTCTAAATTCAATTAAATTAAACAAATTAAATGTGCATCATCATCTCATCTACTCACTAGTCATTTTTACAGCCTCATTGTGTTAATAATCAAACCTATTCTAACTCAAACATTCAGGGAAAATGTTTTTGAATAAAGACTGAAAGAGCCGATGAAGCTTAATGGTGGTGACATTGAAGCCATGTGACTATGATGTAGCATATAGCCTACGTTTAGCTTTTTACTTCTTGTATTTAGGTTTCAAAATAGATCAAAGTTATGTTAATTTTGTGAAGATTATCTTGAGGAACGAAATGTGTAAGATTCATAAACTTTTGTTGGTCACAGAGCTTATTTTCTACAATAATCCAAAAGCCAATGGAAAATGTCACTTTTGGGTTGCCCTACAAAAATATATAACTTTGCAGCAATCTATTGCTTTCTTGTTAATTCTGTGGATTTTACACCTTATCATTGTGGGCTTTGATCTTTTAGTCATAGTTGCTTTTGGAACGAGTATAAAGACAGCAGCCTGGAAATATTCCAGCTTCATAATCTGTGGACATGTCTTGACAAGTATACTCAAAAACAGTCGGTTATGTCTCAGGTAAAGATACAACAGTTGAGAAAAAAATTATATATATATAATATATAGGTGTATAATATATAAACCTATAGGTGTAGGCCTATAATTATGTTGGATTCATGCATTATGTCTTAAAGTGATTGCAGTTTATTCACCAACTGCTGTCTGTTTTAAATGTTAATCCCAAAAAAAAAATCACTCACTTTAGTTATTCAATTTCTGAACACCTACAAATCTGAAACCTGATTTATTCGTGCTATTGCTTGTAATTTGCTTATTTGATCCTGACTCAAATGAAAACTTGTGAAATTGAACTAGTATCTAGAATTTTGGTGTCATAATAAGCTTGTTTATTAGAAAACAGAATAGCATGGATGAAAAAACAAAATTTTTTTTTACATTTATTTATTTTTTGTGGTAGGGCCAGCTCTAGAATGTGCCAAACAGACATGTGATTTGGCTCTTTTGACTCACTGCCCATTCAGGCATTCTCAAGCTGGCATCAAAGTTCAATCTACAATCTAAAATATATTGTGAACAAATTCTCACACTTTACAGAGAACTATAGAGGAAACATGCCTTCAGTTCCACCCAACAAAGAGAACGACAGTCCTGCCTGCCCTTTTGCTGGCAAGAAGACCACTGGCAGGAATGGTGTTGAGAAGTTGGTTTCGGATGATGTAGACAGACCCCTGCAGCTGAATAGAGAAACTGGGGCCACTGACCCAAAATGGATTCGTCCGGACCTGCCAAGTAGATGTACCTGGAAACCAGGAATGTCTCTTGATAATTCCCCTCACAAACACTTCCCCAGGTGATAATGCTTAATGATCACTCACTTTGCAATTCTGACCTAAAATCACAAGATACTTTAAATCAAGTGACAGGGAAATGGCACATGCGTAGAAAGCCGAGCCTACCAAAAGAGCACTTCTGTGTCCTTCTCAGGGATATATCTTTATTTGGAAACTGAATGTTATACAATCATTGATTAGCTCTAATGGACTTTGCAGTATTCAATCAACAATATATTTGTTATGGAAAAAAAAAATATATATATATATATATAACTAATAAAAAGTACCTTTCAAAGAATATTTCCTTCTTAGGTTTTAGAATGTTCACATAATTAAGCAGATGCATTTTTGTGTATGTATTCATAAGTGCACATGACCTGACAAGTGTTATATAAAAGTGTACCATTATTTTAAACATATATTTTTTTATTATTATTTGAATATTATTTTGTTTAGTGACAGTCTGATCCTTTCTATTCACAGGTTCTAGATTGTAAAATCACCATGAAATAAATATGGACAATTCTTTTTTTATGAAAATTAGTTAATATTTTTAGAATATTGAAGTGTTGATTGTAAATTATTTATATGTGCATATCATTATTTAAAATAAATAAATAAATCACTAAATAAAATAACTTCCCTTCCCTCTTGCAACGACATCTCTTCTCTGCCGTGAGGGTGGGACAAAGACCTGTCACTCACATGACAATGCAGCAATAACAAACAACAACCATCAAATGATCCAATCAATTCTTTGTTATTTTTATGTTATTTTTTAATTTACACTGTCACATAATGACTTTTGAAACTGTATAACTATAATTGTAACTATAGCTTTCTGTCCCTCAATATACTGTTCGTGTTTATTTTTTCCTCCTTTAACCATTGCAGGACAAAAGCTGAGAAGATTCTGCCCAACATCCTGGACAGGATTGGAGACACACCACTGGTCCGCATAAACAAGATCTCTAAGACTTTTGGACTAAAATGTGAACTTTGTAAGTGATTCATTCATATTTCTACTTTTGAACAGTTCTAAATAAAATTACACTAAAAGTCAATATCATTTTACCACAGAAGGTGTATTACAAATAAGAAACTTCCTTGAAAGACAAAAAAAATCTTTAAAAGACAAAAAGAATTTGAAAGATAAAGCAAGTATTGACCTTGAGTCATTTGAAGTAGTTTTGGCCTGCTGTGTAGCTTTAATGTTATATATAAATCTATGAAATGGGTGAAAGGCATTTATATAAATGATCTCAAGTTACATAACAGTCATTTAGTTTTGTTTGTATGTGTGTCTGCAGTGGCCAAGTGTGAGTTCTTTAATGCTGGTGGTAGTGTGAAGGACCGTATCAGTCTGCGTATGGTGGGGGATGCAGAAAGGGAAGGCATCCTCAAACCTGGAGACACCATTATAGAGCCCACCTCTGGAAATACAGGTAATCACACAGGACTGATGTTGACTCTGATTTTGTTGAGACTTCTTCTTACTTGTTTTCTACATTCTTATTTCATTGTTCATTGTTACAGGTTGTGTGTTCTTCTCAAAATCTTCAACACTAGTTCACACACTGCATAATGTTTAAAATCCAGTTCATAAATATGGTTAGAATCCCTCTAAATATGGTTAAAAGTGCATTGTAGTGCACATTTCTACACTGGAGATAAACAAGTGGGTAAATAAATTTTTGCCCAGTGGAAAAAAAAAATTAGGTCTGAAGTAGTGATGGGAAGTTCGGATCATTTTACTGACTCGGATCTTTGAGTCTCGTTCAGCAAAATGAACAAATCTTTTTTTCGAGTCATTTCGTTCATTTTGCGAGCGCGCGCACACACACACACACACACACACGATGTGCAAAACTCCGCATTTGAACAGTCAATAGCAAATACTTAAACTAATAACAAAACAGTAGCTGATTCAGAAGCGCCAGATTGTCATAGCAAAGTCAGAATGACCTCCTCTCCTAGGTTCATGAAACGGTCATCCATAAAATGCATTGCTGTTCTGTTGTAAGTGATCTTAAAGATTCCTAAATGCATCTACTTTCGGAAGGCCAAATAAAGTGCTTTTGCTTTCGCCTAGAAACACACAGCGTCTCCCTGACATGGCTGCTTCAACACTAACTGCGGTTACTGAAACCACGCCTTCTTTCTTTGCGTGCACATTTGGGCGCATTATGCAAATATTCCCACATAGTGACCTAGATATGTGGGGGCGTGTTAGAATGAGCCGTTTTAGGGGGGTGTGGCAGAGTCTTAACTTTGATAAAGAATATCTCTTTGGTTTTGAGACTTTAGTCTTTGCAACTTCAGGGATCTTATCTATTCACGAACAGCTTGTAACACTCCAAAGAGAAAGGAAAACTTGAAATCGCATCATATGACCCCTTTAAAGAGTCGTTCAAAATGAACGAATCGTTCAAGAACGACCCAACACTAGTCTGAAGGGTTAAATTATGTGCGCTCTATGCAGGTATTGGTCTTGCACTGGCTGCAGCAGTGAAGGGTTATCGCTGCATAATTGTTATGCCTGAGAAAATGAGCATGGAAAAGGTAAAATTCATTCCAATTATATCAAATGGGATTTGATAGCCCATCAAGAAGGTTAAATAAGAGTCTCTTCATAGGTTGATGTGTTGAGAGCTTTGGGTGCTGAGATTGTCCGAACGCCCACCAGTGCACGGTTTGACTCCCCAGAGTCCCATGTGGGTGTAGCTTGGCGCTTGAAGAATGAGATTCCTGACTCACACATCCTGGACCAGTACCGCAATCCCAGCAACCCCCTGGCTCATTATGACACCACTGCTGAGGAGATTCTGGAGCAGTGTGATGGTAGTAATTGTGTTGTTTCTCTCTCACTTTCTCTCTTTGTCTTTGTTCTCCTATCTTTTTCTGCTTTTGATCATCAAAGCATAGCGTCCTCTCAGTTTCAAAGCCTTTTGTTGTCAGTAACATTAAAGGAATAGCTGACCCAAAAATGAAAATTTGCTGAAAATGTACTCACCCTCAGCCATCCAAGAGAGAGTTTTTATTCATGGGAACAGATTTGGAGAAATTTTGTATTACATCACTTGCTCACCAGTAGATCCTGTGCAGTGAATGGGTGCAGTCAGAATGAGAGTTAAAACATCTGATTAAAACATTACAATAATCCACACGACTCCAGTCCATAAATGCACGGTTACTTCCTGCTTTTAGATAGGCAGTCAGAATGAGAGTTAAAACATCTGATTAAAACATTACAATAATCCACACAACTCCAGTCCATAAATGCACGGTTACTTCCTGCTTTTAGATAGGCCAGTTCAGTCATTTCTGGTCAACTGTCAAAATCAGCTGTGCTATAAGGGGAGCACCCTTTCTCTACATAATCCATTCAGAATTTGAAGAAAAGATTTGTTTGTCTAAGAGGACCATATTGTATAGTATACTATATACTACCATATGCCGTTTCAGGAATGACAAAAGCAAGTGTAAAAAATTACGCGAATGAATCGGCTAAATTGTTCTGCAAGTCATTGCTATGATTGACAGTGATAACTGTAGCAATGGGCAAAACAAAACATCTGACGAGCCGATGTCAAAAATAAACCTGTGCATTAAGTGACTCAGACTAAACAGACTAAATCAGAGTAACAAAACTACAGCAGTCTGTATTGGCTATATAAAATTATTTGTTGTTAAATAACATGAAACTGTATGTTAATGCCGCTTTCAGCATTTACGGTGTTGCAATGATTGTGTTTCTCAGTTTCTGAAAAGAACAATGCAGGAGAGATTTCTGTGAGGGTCTCAAGAGTCTCTACCTATATATACCACAACATCAAATGACGTTTCACCGGAAGTTTACGAGCTGGCTTATCTTAATGCAGAAGTTCTAAAGAACGCTCCGTGCATATAGTCCATTAAAAGCTGTGTGCTTTTTTTAAGAAACAAATTCATCAAGGTGTTTTAACTTTAAACCATTGCTTCCAGTTAAAATGATAGTTCACCCAAAAATTAAAATTCTGTCATTAATTACTTACCCTCATGTTATTTCAAACCCGTCAGACCTTCGTTCATCTTCGGAACACAAATTAAGATATTTTTGATGGAATCTGAGAGCTGTCTGACCCTGCACAGACAGCAATACAACTGAAATGTTCCCAAGTCCAGAGACGTAGCAAGGAGATCTGTAAAATAATCCATGTGACAACGGGTTCAACTGTAATTTTACGAAGCTACGAGAATACTTTTTATGCGCAAAAGAAAAAAAGAATTATGACTTTATTCAACAATTCGTCTCCTCCTGTGCGAAAAAGAAAAAAAATAACTACTTTATTCAACAATTCGTCAGTTCAACAATTTATTCAACAGCATACGTTGTTTATGTCCAGCTGATACTCTCCAAAATGGCGCTACAGGGTGACGCGGAGGAGACGAATTGTTGAATAAAGTTGTTGTGATGTCACATGGATTATTTTACAGATCTCCTTGCAACGTTTCTGGACTTTGGAACATTTCAGTTGTATTGCTGTCTATGCAGGGTCAGACAGCTCTCAGATTCCATCAAAAATATCTTAATTTGTGTTCCGAAGATGAACGAAGGTCTTACGGGTTTGAAACGACATGAGGGTGAGTCATTAATGACAGAATTTTAATTTTTGGGTGAACTAACCCTTTAAAATAAAAGTACATAATCCATAATAATGCTTCCTCCAGTGAAAAAGTCCTCTCACATCAAAATCCATCCATATATTTGTTCAAAACTGTTTTGAACTGTTTTCACTTGAAACAGTGCTTCATCTGTGCTCTCCTGATTCACTCGAGACAACTGGAGAAAGCCATTTTATGGGTAGAGGACTCTATTTAGCCAAAATCAATGGTTTAAAGTTAAAACACTTTATCATAACTTAAATTAATAATCTTTAACAAACATTCTATAATGTCTAACAGATCAGTTATGTAATATCAGATCATTATATAATGTCTAACAGATTAGCTTACCTTAACTTAATTCCACTGGTGCTGTTCGGTGCATAGGGCGGCAAGCGTTCTCCAAGCGTTCTCGATCCGCGGCTGTGACTTAGGCCTCATCCCATGGAATGTCGACTGCTTGCTGGCCTTCCATAAAGGTTCTTTGCCAGGTGATATTTGGTCATCTTTGTTTTCGTTTGCTTTGTGCAGGTTGCCAGAATATCGCCACCTTGAGTAGCCGATGGACAGGAAGGCGTAAGACGTGTCCGGCGAAACTAAATCAGCGTTCAGTGACGGTCACAGAGAGGGGCCGTGCATAGGCGCGACGATATACTTGGTAACATGTTCCTGGTAAGTGATCTTGAGGATACATCGCAGACATCAGAGGTGGAAAATGTCCAACTTTTGAGCAATGGTTTCTATCATCTTCCAAGTCTCGCACGTGTAGATCGCCGTCGACACAACGATCGTGGTCAGGAACCGCAGTTTAATCTGCATCAATGAAATTAGGACTCTCTAGTTTATGTAACCGATTCAAATAACTTTGGTCTTCTGTCCACTAATTCGGAGTCCGGCGCTGGCCACTTGATTTTCTAGGGCCATAGTGAGATCTTGTAGGGAAGATTGGGTCGGGCCGAAAACGACGATATCATCTGCAAAGTCGAGATTGGCAAGGAAGTGGTTGCCAACTGTCCAGGGTATGCCGATGTGTAGGTGGTCGATGGAGTGGTGACCGACAAAATAGATGACGAGGAGGAATAAAACATGCAACCTTGTCGTACGCCAGTTTTGATCGTGAAGAAATCCATTGGTACAGGTTGCGAAAGATGTCAACAAATTGAGATGGAATTCTGTAAGCCTGGGCTATCTTCCATAGCGTTTCTCGGTGCACAAGAAAGTCAAACGCCTTGGAGTCAAACGCCTTGATAAAGTCTATAAAGTTCAGTGAGATCCGTTGTTGGTATTCTAACAATTGTTCAACCACTTGTCACAGAAAAAAAATCTGCTCGATGCAGGATCGGCCACTTCGGAAGCCTGCTTGTTGATCTCTAAGGCAGGCATCGACGGCTCATCGAAGGCGGTTTAGAAGTACAATAGAAAATACCTTTCCAGGTACAGTCAGGAGAGTAATACCCCGCCAGTTATCGCACTTGGAGAGATCACCTTTTTTCGGAAACGTGACGATCATACCTTGTTTCCATTCCTCGGGGACTGCTGAGGCCGTCCAGCAAGCATTGAGCAGGTCCGTCAGGGCTTCAACAAGGCACTGGTCACCGGATTTGAGTAGTTCAGGCGGGATCTCGTCCAGGCCTGCAGCCTTGCCATTCTTGAGTGTCGGATTGCATTTTTCGTTTCCGCCGCTGTGATCGTGTCAAGATTTACTGGCAGATTGAGTAAAGGGTCGAGGAAGGCAGATTCGAATACTGTGGTTGGCGCTGGGTGGTTTAGGACTGCCTTGAAGTGCTCAACCCACCAATGACAAGGTGTTCTTCTTGGGTAGGAAGGGCCCTGCCATCCTGATCTTTGATTGGTGCACCACTTCCAGATGGGGAGCTGGTGAGCTCTCGAATGATCCAACATGGAGGTTAGATCCAGCATTCTCTGAAGGTGCCCCATCGGTGACTGATGGCTGCCTCTGCCACGGTTACCAGAGTATCTCGGAACTGCTCCCAGCGGGAATCCAGGTCATGTGTGGGGGGACAATATTTCGAAGTGATTCCGGACCGTGACATTGTACTGCTGCAATACGACTGGGTCTCGGAATCGTACAACATCAAAAGGCTTTGGTTGCTGGCTGCAGGCTGGCAAACGTCAGAATTGAAGTCGGCAGGAAGTGGTCAGTACCAACATTGGCACCCCGATAACTTTGCACGTCGAGAATGGACGAGCGCCAATGCTTGGAGAAGCAGACATAGTCGATCTCGTCGCACACCCTATGGGCCCTGGCGCTTTCCATGTAACTTTGTGGATCCGCTTGTGTGTACGGGTTCCCGACCACGAGTCCTTGTGTAGCACAAAAAGTCAGGAGTCGCTAACAGCAGTCATTGGTTTCGGTCGCTGAACCATGGGGGTCAATCATATGATCGAACACTTGCCTTGCTGATCTGAGCATTGAGATCGCCTGCAACGATGACAAGGTCATGGCGTTGGGATATGGTTGAGCTCAAGTAGCAAGTCAAGTCACCTTTATTTGTATAGCGCTTTATACAATACTGATTGTGTCAAAGCAGCTTTACAGTGTCAAACAGGAAAATAGTTTGTCAGTAATGCAAGAAGACAATAACAGAGTCATTTTTCCAGCTAAAGTCAGATTCATTGATGATTCAGTGATGTCATCATCCAGTTCAGCTCTCTTCCAGTAGTGTCTGTGCAATCAGTCAGTCAAGCGTCCCCAATTAAGTAAGCCAAAGGCGACAGTGGCAAGGAACCAAAACTCCATCGGTGACAGAAATGGAGAAAAAAAAAACCTTGGGAGAAACCAGGCTCTGTCGGGGGGCCAGTTCTCCTCTGGCAAAACGAAACCAGCATGACGTTATTTAATTCCAGGCTGCAACACAGGTGTAAAGCCGGGCTCACACTGTGCAATTTTTTTAAAAGTCCTTTAGGATTGTACTTGTCAGACTGTACGAACATGATGATCATGTCACACTGTGGGATCTCAGTTGTCATTAATGTCAGACTGTACGACAGTCAAGACGCGTTAAAAATGGGTGCGCACAAGAAAACTTGTCCGAAGTTTTACCTTATCAACCCATACACGTTCAGTGACTGCGAGCTGCATTGCTATAATGTTGGCTATCATTAAAAGTATATGAATGGCGGCAATACCGGCGTATTTAAGAAGAATAATGTAAGCAGCACTACACACCCACATGAAAACAGCAGCGCAACCAGTGTTTATCATAGCAAAGGCATCGTATCATATGAATTCCATGAGCGGAGGACGAGAGCGCCGGAATTTATGCAGTTAGAAGACATCTCTAGCATTAATTCTGATCATGGCCTGTCTTGAAAAACGAAGACAGTTTGATGTTCGTCGTAGGAGAAGTCACACTGCAGGACTGTGCGCCAAATCTTCTGACACTGCCAGAATTTTGTATGAGGTAAAATTTGATCGCAACGGCCATTAATCGGCTGTCGGCGAACATATTTTAGCACAGATTTTACAGATTTTAGCCTAAGATTATAGGAATATTTTAGGATTTTAAAAATTTGTCTCAGACGACCAAATCGTGGCCAAAATCGCACCGTGTGAGACGGGCTTTAAGGACTTGTCTGGTTTCTGTGTTCTTGTGCCAATGGTTGTCGAGGTGATGAGGTCTTCGCAGGGGATCTGTCTCTGGGGCGCTTCTAGTTGACATGGTCTCCGCTGATGTTCAGGGCTGTAGAGGTCGTCTCTAGGTGCTGATCCACCATCTGATCTGCATACAGACTGGATCCGTATGGCTACGGTGATCTCGGAATAAGAATGAAAGAGACTAATATTAGCGTAGATTCCATTCTTCTTACGATGTATCGAGTAGATCGGATGTTATGGGAAGTGTTCCCAGTTCCGGTTGACGTTATTAATGCAGCCTAACAATCCATTAATGGATTTTAATTATAGAAATGTGATAGTGTATTATGTGTATGCCAGGTTAAAGAGATGGGTCTTTAATCTAGATTTAAACTGACAGAGTGGGTCTGCCTCCTGAACAACGCTAGGTAGATTGTTCCAGAGTTTGGGCGCTAAATAGGAAAAGGATCTGCTGTCCAGAGTTGATTTTGATATTCTAGGTATTATCAAATGGCCAGAGTTTTGAGATCACAGCGGACGTGAAGGACTATAATGCGATAAGAGCTCGCTCAAGTATTGAGGAGCTAAAGCATTCAGGGCTTTATAAGTAATTAACAAGATTTTAAAATGTATTCGCAGTTCAATAGGGAGCCAGTGCAGAGTTGACAGAACCGGGCTAATATGGTCTTACTTCCTGGTTCTAGTAAGAACTCTAGCTGCTGCATTTTGGACCAGCTGGAGTTTGTTTATTAAGCGCACAGAGCAAGCACCCAATAAAGCACTACAATAATCTAACCTTGAGGTCATGAACGTATGAATTAACATTTCTGCATTTGACATTGAGAGCATAGGTCGTAATTTAGATATATTTTTAAGATGGAAAAATGTGGTTTTACAAATACTAGATGGTTTTCAAAGGAAAGATTGCTATCAAATAGCACACCTAGGTTCCTAACTGATGACAAAGAATTAACAGAGCAGCCATCAAGTGTTTTGGGTTATTACGCGCGGAGGTTTTTGGTTCAGTAATTAAAGGATTAGTTCACTTCCAGAATAAAAGTTTCCTGGTAATTTACATGGACAATGTCATCCATGATATTCATGTCTTTTTTTCTTCAGTCGCAAAGAAATTAAGGTTTTTGAGGAAAACATTCCATGATTTTTCTCCATATAATAGACTTCAATGGGGACCAACGGGCTGAAGGTCCGAACTGCAGTTTCAGTGCAGCTTCAAAGGGCTCTACACGATCCCAGCCGAGGAATAAGGGTCTTATCTAGAGAAACCATCGCTTATTTTCTAAAAAAAGAAAATAAAATGTATATGCTTTTCAACCACAAATGCTCGTCTTGCACTAGCTGGACTTCACGCATGACGTAATCACGTTGGAAAGGTCATGCGTGATGTAGTCGGAAGTACCGACCCAGTGTTTACAAAGCAAATGTGCAAAGAAAGTCAAATGCCCTTTACAAAAAAAGGTCAAACAACGATGTCGGACGATTTTGAAGTTGGAGGAGAAAATGAGATGGAGTTTTTCACCCTAACCTTCCTTTCTGAACCGGAGTACACAGGCGAAGAGCGAACTGCATGTGACCTTTCCAATGTGATTACGTCATGCGTGAATTAGCGGATGCGCATCGCAGAGTTAGCGCAAGATGAGCATTTGTGGTTAAAAAGCATATAATTTTTTTTTAGAAAATGAGCAATGGTTTCACTAGATAAGAGCCTTATTCCTTGGCTGGGATTGTGTAGAGCCCTTTGAAACTGCAATTTGGACCTTCAGCCCGTTGGTCTCCATTGAAGTCCATTATATGGAGAAAAATTCTGGAATGTTTTCCTCAAAAAACCTTAATTTCTTTGTGACTGAAGACAGAAAGACATGAACATCTTGTATGACATGGGGGTGAGTAAATTATCAGGAAATTTTTATTCTGGAAGTGAACTAATCCTTTAAAACCTCAGTTTTTTTGTCTTCAGAATTTAGCAGTAGGAAATGACCAGTAATCCAGTTTTTTATATCAACTATGCATTCCGTACGCTTTGCGAATTTGTATGTTTCATCGGGCCGCGAAGAAATATAGAGATGAGTATCATCAGCATAACAGTGAAAGCTAACACCATGTTTCTTGATAATGTCTCCCAAGGGTAACATGTAAAGTGTGAAAAGCAATGGTCCTAGTACTGAGCGTTGTGGCACTCCATACTGTACTTGTGATCGATATGATATCTCGGCATTCACTGCTATGAATTGATAACGGTCAGATAAGTAAAATTTGAACCATGACAATGCAATTCCACTAATGCCAACATAATTTTGTAGTCTACTCAAAAGAATGTTGTGGTCGATAGTGTCAAATGCAGCGCTAAGATCCAGTAGCACTAATAGAGAAATACAACCACGATCGGATCTTAAGAGCAATTTGTAACTCTTATGAGAGCAGTCTCAGTACTATGATACGGTCTAAATCCTGACTGGAAATCTTCACAGATACCATTTTTCTTTAAGAGGGAACATAGCTGAGAGGATACTGCTTTTTCTAGTATTTTTGATAGAAAAGGGAGATTTGAGATCGGTCTGTAATTAACTAATTCTCTAGGATCAAGTCATGGTAGAAAGAGTCCTTATCCACTTCGGAGGCATATTCTGTTGGCACATAGACTTGATAGAAAGTCGGCTTTACATGCGTGCCTTGCTGAGATGATTCTGTCCGAGACAGAAGATGTCGTAAAAATGTTAGCCATTCACGCATTCACTGCAGAGGATCCATTGGTGAGCAAGTGATGTAATCATAAAATTTCTCCAGGTCTATTCCCATGTAGAACCAAACTCATCTACATCTTTGATGGCCTGAGGGTGAGTACATTTTCATTATTTTGTTAACTATTCCTTTAACTCAACTCACCACAGGTAAATTGGATATGCTGGTGGCAGGAGCCGGCACAGGTGGCACTATTACCGGCATTGCCCGCAAACTGAAGGAGAAATGCCCAAATATTAAGGTAGACACTGATTGTCCCTGAGATCTGATGCACTGCAATTTTGTGAAATCAAAACCTCAGATAACTGTTTTGTAACAAAAAACAGAGTACCACTTCATTTTAAAATGTCAGCCAGAAAGATAATAACGGAAGAGTAAACTGGATATAATAACTGGAAGAGTAAACCACATAATGTTGAATTGTAATAAAATCATATAAGTTGCTGTTGTATAAGTCACTCAGGCATTAAGTAACCAGGCAACACTGAAAATGAGTCTTGACTTATATGAAGTGTCTGTGTTTTGGTAGATTGTTGCGGTGGACCCAGAGGGCTCAATCCTCGCTGAGCCTGATGAGCTGAACCGGACAGATAAAACTCAGTATGAGGTGGAGGGCATCGGATATGACTTTATACCCACCGTCTTGGATAGATCTGTGAGTGACTCTATATAAGTCTGCAGGTTGAAATATAAGTCTGATGTCCTTAATAAATTGCATATGATAGGGCTCTTCAGCTGACACATTTGAACATTACTTTTCTAAAAAATGATGTTTGGATAATAAAGTAAACCTAAGTTGCTTCAGTCCAGTAAGTGTTCATCTTGAAATTTTACTAACAATATTAAAGTTATTCTCACAATAACTTCAAAATAATCTGAAAACATTTCACAGAAAAAAGACACATGAACCACGTTCTGAAGGTGGGCGTATGTACAATTATATAAAAAAGGCCTTTGACTTGCTAAAAAAGTATAATCTAGCTATCAGATGGCAGAAGGCATGTAGTAGATTGTGTGCAAGAGGTTTTTCCGCAAAGGTTTGATCATTTAAAGAATTTCGAAATTTGTGTATCAAATATGATAAAGTAGGTCAAATAAGGTTAAAAATATATATTTTTCTAAAATAAATTATACTATTAAGGGTGTTTAGGTTTGGTTGTTTTGGTTTTTTGTGTTGACTACGTTATTTGCAGTAAAAGTGCTAAGGTCAAATATTATACTCTCATGTTCATCTGGATATTTTGACCCCTGGAAGGAAGAGTCCAGCTTTATGATATCCACTTGTTTGTTGCAATAGTCCACCCACTGGTATTGCTATTTTGTTCTTTACCAGTAGATGGCAGTTGAAGTATAGTTTTGGTTTACTGTGTTCTACTGTTGGGAGACAGCAGGCAGTTCATGTACAAATGAAACACATTGTGTTTTTATTTCAGTTGGTTGACAAATGGTACAAATCCAAAGATGAGGAATCATTTGCTATGGCCCGAATGCTTATAAGCGATGAAGGGCTGTTATGTGGTAAGCACATTATCCTTTATTAACTTGCACTCGAACAAATAATATCTATGAGACATACAGCATCTTAAATTGTGGCTTAATGTCTATGAAAAGTAATATCATGATTGTAGTAGATTTGTGTAAGTATATACCGCATTGTTGTCTCTGTTGTCAGGTGGGAGCTCAGGCACTGCCATGGCAGCTGCAGTAAAGTTTGCCAAAGAGCTGAAGGAGGGGCAGCGCTGTGTCGTGATTCTGCCAGACTCCATTCGCAACTACATGTAAGGAGAAATCAGAGAGATGCACAAGATTTGGCTGCAAGCTTATTCAGCTTCAGTTTTTCCAGGGAACAAAAAATAATTACATTTATTCTTTAATGCACTGTAAGTTGCTTTAGTTGAAAACATCTGCCAAATGCATAAATATCAAATATTTTCTCACCCCTGATTTTGGCTATTTTCCACAAAGACAGCTGGCTTCACTAAAGCTTGGCTCAGTCTGAAGCTATGGATGTTAGTCATCATTTTGTGTTTAAAATGTACTCTTTAATTTACTCTTTAATTTAAGGTCCAAGTTCTTGAGTGACAAGTGGATGTTCCAGAAGGGCTTTCTGAGAGTGGAAGATATCATGGTGAATAAACCCTGGTGAGCAGATGATAATTTTGCCGCTTAAGATTTAGTGTGTATATGTGAGACTGGGGCTATCTGTCACACTTTTTATTGGTAATTTATTTATTTGGCATTTATTAAGGTAGATTTCATTTTAGAAGTAAATTTCTATGTAGGCATAAAGACAACATGATAAAAGGACATGTTGTCACACAGTACACTCTTAAAAATAAAGGTTCGTTATTGGCATTGATGGTTCCATGAAGAACCTTTAACATCCATATAATCTTACCGTTGCACAAAAGGTTCTATATAGTGGAAAAAGGCTCCTTGGATTAATAAAATATTCTTCATACTAAGAACTTTTTTAACTGATCACTAAAAGGTTCCAAAATAGTTATTTTATGGCATCACTGTGAAAACCCCCTTTTGAAAATTTTAAGTGTATGGGGAAAGTTGTCACAATGCAGGCTGTCATTTTATAAGCTATCCAGCGAAATTTAAACATTAAAGCAATTATTAAAACTGCAAAACAATTCATGTAACAACACAACATTTAAGATGTATTTTACAAAAATATCAAAACCATTATATTGGGTGGTAAATGTTGAAATTAATTAAAGTTAAGCATTTTAAATACTACCTATGCTGACCCGTGATTTATAAAAAATACTCTTGTCCTGTGAACACATTTCAACTTTTTATTTAAAATCTGTCTTCATTATATAGTTGACCCGTATCTAAGGTTTTATTTTAATTTTAATGATATTGTAATAAACAAAACGAATCTATTCTAAAAAATTATTTAATTTAAAAGGGTTTTTAACTAGGTGTTTGAAACAACTCTATAGAAAACACTATTTGTAAATGTATTTGTACATTTTCCTATTTGAACTTTTCACACATACTGTGAATATGACAACTTCATGGGGTGAAAGCTAGCTCCATTTTCCTTATATTAAATATATACTCCATTTATATTATTGAACATTAATACAATGTGTAGGAATTTAGAACCTGGGCAGTCTCTCGTTTTCGGTTCTGTGTTCATTCTTCATTTTTATTCATCCTTCATTCAATTTCATCCAGGTGGTGGAATCTGAAATTACAAAGTCTAAACTTTTCTGCTCCACTAACTGTGCTGCCCATAGTCACATGCCAAAAAACCATCAAAATCCTGAAAGAAAAGGGCTTTGACCAGGCACCTGTCGTAGATGAAGCTGGGTGAGCAATACATGCAACAAAGAAAATTTCAGTCAACATTAAAATGGTGATAAACTCACTGTAATTGTCATCAGCACTTACTGTATTAAAGCTATATTGTCTTTGTAATTGAACATGATTAAATTGAGGAGTGGAATGCAGTTGTGTTTGGCTTTCTCTCTGCAGGTTGATTCTGGGAATGGTAACCCTGGGAAACATGCTTGCCTCTGTGCTTGCAGGAAAGGTCAAGCCCTCTGACCCTGTCAGCAAAGTGCTCTACAAACAGTTTAAGCAGGTGAGCCTAGTGCAGGTCTTTCAGAAAGGATAGTTTGAGCTCACTCACTCAATCTGACATTACTTCCTCCATTTTGTCTATTTTAGATTCGTCTAACTGACAATCTGGGAAAGCTGTCTCGGATCTTAGAAACGGATCATTTTGCCCTTGTGGTCCATGAGCAGATTCAGTGTGAGTGTAAATTCTGACATATTGAAGCCCTTGTCCGGATAATGTGCTCTCAGTTGTTTTACAAAAACACATTAGCTATGTATGCAAGGAAAACTCAGATGTAGGAAAACTAAGGTCCAAAAAAACTTTTGACTTTACATTAATATTCTTATAAGGGCAATATCATATGTGACCCTGGACCACAAGGGTGCAAAAAAATCAAAATACTGAGAAAATCGCCTTTAAAGTTTTCCAAATGAAGTTCTTAGCAATGCATATTACTAATCAAAAATTAAGTTTTGATATATTTGCGGTAGGAAATTTACAAAATATCTCAATGGAACATGATCTTTACTTAATAACCTAATGATTTTTGGCATAAAAGCAAAATCGATCATTTTGACCCATACAATGTTTTGTTTTTTTTTGGCTGTTGCTAAAAATATACCCCAGCGACTTAAGACTGGTTTTGTGTTCCAGGGTCACTTATATGCTTTATTTATCTTTGACATCTAGAATTCAGTTTATAAATTCAGAGTTAATGTGAAAAGTGTGGTGGTGGTGGTGAAGGTGACGATGATATAATGATGATAATAATATTTACATAAACATACAATAACAATAAGCCATCTGGATAAATCCAAAGAAATAAAAGTTTATGTACTCATGCAACGGTCACATTTACATTCTCTTTTGATAACTTGTATGTTATGTATTTCTGCTTCCTTTGGTCCTGTGTCTTGTTTATCGCCTTGTTTTTATAGCCCTCAGTTTTCAGTTGTAGTTATCCATTTTTTATTTATAACACTTTTTAAAAGATAACTATATGCAATAAAGCCCAAGATCCGCTCGGAGTCAAAAGATAAGGAGATTTTAAAAAAGGGAAAGTAAATAAAAATAAATCAATCTATAAAATTACATAAAGAATAAAAATTGTGTGACAGAAAAGATCAAACTCATGACCAAAACAAAATACAGATGAGTACATGTAGAACTTTAGATCTCAAAAGATCCAATAAAGTCACAACAAGCTCCGACCAAAATTGCATTGTCCTTCCGGTGGTGCTGTCCACTTTAGCCACGGTACACTCAAGAAGAGCAATATCCAACAGATAGGACAACCAAGTAGACATAGCTGGGGTAGATGGATCAAACCATAGATTCAGGATAACTTTTTTTAGCAGCAGTAAGAGCAGCTGAGAGAATCCTCCTTTGATTAGCAGACAGTGACAGTAGTTGTCCATTCTCATCATTGTAGATGTTGGTTAGCTTTAGCTTTCCCTGTACTGCAAGGAACACGAGTCTATAGTGAGGCGTTACTTATTAAAATGAAAGCAATACCCTGTATTTCTCAACATTAATTACTTAAATGACATCTGGCTAATTTTGAAATTGTGTTATTCCAAAATTTTCAATAACCGATTATATTCAAATAAGGCAACCGATCATATTTTTTGAGAACTGCTTATTCTCATCAAGTCAGCATGATAGAAAAATTCACCCTGTGTATTTTGTAAATTCATATTAGAGATCTTAATGTGAATGATTCATCCATGTTTCATTAAAAAATAAAAACATTGTAATCTTTAATCAAAATGCTTCCATTGAGAAATATTTTGTTTCATTGTGACTTTTAATTATATTCACACACTGTGGCTTGTGTTCAAGACACTGCCACTAATATATTTTATAAACAAAATGATTACAAGCTAGATCTAAATTTGGAGGACCATTTATTACCAGGGGTCTCCAACCCTGCTCTTGGAGAGCTACCGTTCTGGGCTGCGTTTCCCGATAACGTCTCTTAGCGTGCTACGAAGACTCTAAAGGTATGTCCTAACTTAAGGTATACCTGTTCTAGGCGTGTTCCACGAACTATACCTGCTTCACTGCGTTATGTGAGAAAGCGGTGTTCTTTATAAAAGAAGTGTTGATTTTAAATAAAGACACGCAGCGAACTTGCGTGAAACTTTTACTTTCGCTTTGCAACATACATCACGTCAGGGAATAAAACCAAGAAAGAAAAATATATGCCCAGTAGGGCTGCCACTAACGACTATTTTTATTTCGATTAATCTATCGACTAATTTATCGATGAATCAATTAATCTAAACGATTAATTTCCCACAAAAAATCAACAATTTTACTTAAGATTATTTTTTAAACTAAACCAAATGAAATCCAAATTTCTATTAAATCCTTTTTTTAAAGCAAAAGTAAAGTGCATCCATCTCATAGTCCAAATCACTGAAATCAAAGTTCAGTATTATAGTGTAAGAATGACAACATATCCACATGTTCTAGTCTACTAATAATAAAATTATAATAAACACTTTAAAAGAGTATTTACCAGAAATGTTATTTACCAGAATTTATTTAGCAGAAAAATTTAAATGTGCAGTATTTCTGAAAAAAAAAATTAATTTTTATTTTTTTTAATAAAATCAATTAATTGGAGATGCTTTTGATTATTAAAATTTAATGGAACCATTAAAATAGAATCCAGAAAATAATGGAAAACAGAATTTGGAAGAATACAGAACCATGTCTGTGCCTGCTTCTTTATTTTGTTACAAAAGTACAGATATTACAATTGGCAATGAGGTTGTCGATTACATTTCCTTTACCGGTTCCATTCCTGCCATGCCCTGGCGAGCCTTCACTTCTACTGTCTGGCTCGAAATGTTTGAAAATTACCTTCTTGTAATTGCTGCTACTGGTGACGCATGGCCAGAGGAAAGAAAACAAGCTGTTTTTCTGCATGCTTTGAGCACAGAAGGACAAAGACTGTTTTATACCTTACCAGACACGGGCAATACCTATACTACGGCTATTGCTGCACTGAAAAGACAAAAGGGGCATAATAGGTCACCTTTAAGGGAGCCTAACAAGGCTATAATTGCACAGACGTGAAGACATATGCAGAGAACAAAAACACTGTGGCACGTAAAGAGCAGAAATGTAAAGAGGATACTGACAAAAGGAGAGGAGCCAAGGTACCCAAATTCAAGGAAAAGGACTGGGTGCATATTAAGAAAACAGGTCTGCGTTTCACAATAGCGCTGTCTCTTAGCGTGCTACGAAGACTCTAAAGGTATGTCTTAACTAAAGGTGTACCTGTTCTAGGCGTGTTCCCCAAACTATACCTTAGGACGCTGCTTAAGATATACCACCTTACGAGCGACGTTACCAGGTGCTGTCCATGGCAGTGGTGCTGAATTGTTTGAAATCGATACCTTGAAAATCGATTATTCATTCTGTGCATGGGCTGCTTCACTGTGTTATGTGAGAAAGCGGTGTTCTTTATAAAATAAGTGCTGATTTTAAATAAAGATAGAACTCTTTCCTGTTAGAACGCAACAAACTTGTGTGAAACTTTTACTTTCGCTTTGCAACATACATCATGCCAGGGAATAAAACCAAGAAAGAAAAATATATACCCAGAGCACCTCCCAGTGGTCACATAAAATACAAGGGAAAAAACTACATGAGACACTGCTTAATAATTTAACAGCTTTTAACAGAAGAGAGAGAGAAAAAAACTGCATGGCTGCATTTCCTGAAACCTTCTTAATGCTACATCGTTCTTAAGTTGTACCTTAAGCTGTACCTTATCGTTAATCGTTTCCCGAAATGTTTTTAGTTAAGTATACTGTAAGTCATACTTTCATAAGGTTGGTCTGGACCACTCTTAGCTATACCTTATCACTGTTGACAGTTCACAGTTCTTTACATCTCAGTCTATACGAAAGTAATTCTGAAGTAATACACCCAGTGTTCAATTAAGCTGCAATTCTTAAAAAAAATAAAGATAAAGAAATTATAAAAAAAAAAGAGAGAGAGAGAGACAAACTTGACGGAGCTACACCCT